TCTTACTAGTGGCCTCTATTATAGTTGAAATTCAGTGTGGGGTATGAAAAATCATCAACTTTGATCTACATTTTTATCAAAATTTTGTCAGATAGTAATTATTTAGAAAGTTTGATAGAATCCATTTAAATAGGGCCATAATATATACATTTTGAAGTAGGCTACAAAAATTTACCAGTCATGGAAACATTATTAGTTAAGAAAAATGTTTAACAGTCTAAGTAAGTAGCAATCCCAAGAAATCCAACTAGAATTCCGAGATCGAAAGAATTATTATTATTATTATTATTATTATTATTATTATTAAAGCTTATGATTAAGCATAATTTTTTTCTAATAATATTAAGAATATATTTTTACGTCGATTTAGTATATTAAAATTTTACTTTTGAAGTATTTTTTTTACAATAATTAAATTTTAGTTGACAAAAAAATATGTTTTCTTTATTAATTAAACCAATTTGTATTTTGTGTGGGTATTAAAATTATTGAATTCTCTTCTTTTTTTTTCTTTACATTTGAATTGCTTAGTTTCAAGCTAAATCATGTAAATATTGCGAGTATATTCCTTCATAAACTTAATTAATTTAAAATATATTAAATACGAATGCAATTTTTGTACCCTATCAAAGTGAAACTATGAATAAAAAGTTATGTTTGATCAATTAATTTATACAAATACCATTAAAAAATAATATCAAATAAATCTAAAATTTAAATGCTAACAAATGCAATTCTTTTTTTTTTTTCTAGCAACCTGTTATTCAAAAAAAAAAAAAAAACCATGACATCTGAGGAGTGCAATGGCAGCAGAGGCTTTTTTGTAAGGCCTAGAAGCTAAGCCTTACCTAAACACTGGGAATGTGCTGATTCTGAGATGACCATTCTTTAAACAAAGCTTTTAAGATGAGGAATTGAAAACTCAAAGGATCTTTGATTGGCTCAAAACTTAAAGAAGAACTGCTGCATGGATGGAGCAGCAATTGAGGGTTTTTTTTTTTTTTAATGAAGCTTTGTTTTCACTCAAGGAAAATTATATATTTTGATAAGACCAACTCTACTTTGGTTTGTAGGTTTAGGTGTGAAGGTATCGTTGTCTGAGATACTGACAGTTTCGTTACAAAAAGGTCTATATTACTATAATCAAAGTCAGTGATAGGACTTTGGCTGACTTGGTCCTTTCTTGTTTTGGTTGCCTTTGCTGCAAACAATCTATTTTACCTTCCACTTGGGTTTGGATTGGACCATCCAATCCCAATATCATTTAAATATTTTGAGGGTGCTTTGGCACTTTGCATACACTTTCTTTTATTCTTTTCCCACTACTTTATGCTTGTTCGTCTCTCACAATTTTTGAGGTTTTTTTCTTTTCTTTTTTATTGTTTGCAATTCTATTTATAAATAAAGTTAACAAAATTATATATATCCAATTAAAATATAAATGTTATAACATGATAACTTATGAAATTTATTTTATTTTTTATGAAAAGGCCAAATGTATCTTCAAGGTTTTTTTAATTTAATCTCCTCAATGTTAAAGGGGCATTCTCTTGTATCAGCATGATGCATTTAGAATCTTATTCCTTACATGCTTCTCATAATAATTAAATTCAAGTTGACAAACATAAATACTCTTCTCTTATCAATTGAATTAACTTTTATGAATGAAATTAAAACTTTATCGATTATGTTTTCAAAAAAAAAAGTATTATCGGTACAAAAAATAATACTATTGCATATATTAAATTAGATTTTTTTTTCATTTTTATAATATAATTTAGAATGTAAGATATAAGAATTGACACTTTGTTACTTTTTTTATCATCGTAATTATTTGTTGTACATGTTAAAACTATTTGGTAAGAGAAAAAAAGGTGTAAAACCCATGGAAAGGATATATTTTCATTTTGATTTCTACATCATAAACTCACTTGGTTTATGATTTATTTGGATGTACAATGAAATTGTTCCTTTAAGATTGTTTTGGTGATATTAAAAATAATAATATATAATTAATTAATTAATATTACGATGAAAATAATTATTATGAATGTGAGTCGGTGATGAGATATATGTTTTGATGTAAAAGCGAAAGTGATGATAAAATAAATTATATTGAGAAGAAAAAATTATTATTAAAGATATTAGATTAAAAATTAGATGTAATAAAAATTGTAAATTATTTAATATTTATACAATTAAAATTTATTTATATATTAAATAAATAAAATTATTTTATAAATTTTAAATAAAAATTAAAAACAACAAGTTATCTTCTAATAATATTTTTGTTTTTATAATATAAATTAAAGGATAAAATAAAAGAAAAAATGGGCAGGGGCATTTAACCACTAGGCCAAAAGTGGCAAATGACCAAACGGAAGAAAAATCACGAAATCGTGCCGTGTTCCTGACATCCAAATGACACTTCAATAGCTTTTTTATTGATTTTTGACATGCAATCGCATCTCACCATAGCTGTGATTATATCCAAACAAAGCTTTATGTATGTTGTTGCATATGCAATTACATCATTATTTAACTAAAAAATAACAAAACAGTACAAAACCAGCACTATGGTTTCTTAGACATTAATCTCATACATTATTTTTGCATAAATACTTTGTTTGATTTGGTGTTAATCTAATAATTTTTTATACAGTATAAAAATTCTATAAAAAAATATAAAAATAACACAGTTTAAAATTTTAATAAAAATTATATATAAATTTAATAAAAATAAAAATAATATTTCATATTTGACGTATTAACATGAAATATAATATAATAATTTTTATATTTAATATAAAATAAATACGATATTAAATCTAATTTGATATCGAAATGAGGTGATTTTAGGCTAAATCCACCGACTCTTTTCTTTCTTAGCTTCTTAGCTCTTAGCTTCTTGGTTTCATGCTCATCCCCAGATCAATCTTTCTTTTGGTGTAATTATATAAAATTCTTGCACGAGCTCCTCATACTTCATGTGCAAGAATGAGTTGTAATGTAATCATCCCCTTTTTGTTGTACAAGAAAGAGAATCCCTTTTTTGCTGGAGACTTTGAAAGCTAAATGTATGGGATTTGGATAGCTAGGTAGGCTTCAAAACAAAATTATTGTATTCCCAAGCATGTTTGGATGTGTTAAGGGTTCATTTATATATGATTTTCGTGTTTTGATTTAATTTAATTTTTTATCATACGATTTTGAAAATACATTTTTTTACATTAATTTAATATATTTAAAATTTTGGTTAACGAAAAAATAAAATTTCTCTTCTTGTTAATTGAATTAATCGATCTGGAATATATATTATATATATTTCTATTATTATTTTGACAATGAATCATCTTTAATTTTATTTTGCAAGTTGTTAATACTTAATTAGATTTTAAAAGTCATCCCATTTTCTATGGAAAGAGAAAAGGAATTGGGAAAGAAATTAGAATGCATTATTTGCCAATTCAATTTGAATTAATTTTATCTGGCAAATTTATGGCTCTTTGATAAAATTAAAAGGTCACAATATGAACTTTACTTGATTATAAACATTAAAGGAAAAAAATTTTATTAGTATCATGTAATTAAAATCAAGAAATGGAAACACTTTCTACCTTTGCCTTGCTCTATTTTTTTGCTCATTTTTCTTCAATTTGTTGACAATATAATTCCCCAATCTAAGGCTTAGGTCTCTAAAAGATTAGTAGTCCATTGTTCTTTTTAATATTCTAAGTTTAACAATTAAATTTTATCTTCTCTTTTGTTCTCCCTCAAAAACTTACAAATAAAATGGAATGAATTATATTTCTTGAAAATTATATTTAGTTGTTTTTTTAACTCTTAGGTGGAAAAATGTCAAATTTTCTTTTGGGATTATCAAAGCATAGATAATGACCCTTCATACTTTCTAATGTTTGTACCACATGAATCTATAAAAAAAATCCACCTACATGTTGAAAAACATCATCATCTTAACTTACAATAATAGCAAAAAAAATTATATAACAGATAGTTTATCGAGAATAAAAAAATTATAAATATTAAAATTTAAAATTTAAAATTTAAAATTATTAAATTTAATTTATTAAAAATAATTATATTAATTAATTTAATTAAATATTGAATTCAAATATAAAATTTTTGAAACCCAAAAAAAAAAATGACAAAAGAAATGAGTGAGAAAGGTGGGAAAATATTAAATATTAGTAAAATGGTCCCCAAAAGTGGTTGAATTAAGGTATGGGATGTCACCTACATTTAACAGTAGTGGGCTGGACAGCATGTGTACAACAGTTGGTAGTTGCATAGATTTTGCTGTTCTCTTTCTGGCAAACAACATTTTTTTGGGCTTTCAATGGCAGAACTCTAGGCCCAACCTTTCTCTTCTCAACTTGCAACAAAAACAATTTCCTATTGAAATGAAAAATAATTTGTTAAAAATATGTCTTTCATATATTATTATTGATGAAATTCTTAAATGTTATGAACTAAAAAATTGTTATATGTCTAATTTTTTTAATTAATTTTTTAATATATCATAAAAGGCTTAATTAATGATGTTTTGGAGTTAAATTACTTTTCTTTTTGTTGTGTAAAATAAATTATTTTTATAAAAATTATTCAATTTGGTCAGCTTTTTTTTTGTCATTGAAAATTTTAAATTTAATCAATAACAAGAATTGTTATTTTTTAAAAAACATAAAAATAATTTTATTAGAAATAGTGGCTTAATAATAAAATATATCTTTAAATTTAGTAAAAATTGAAATTGACCCTCTCATCTTTTATTTTTTTTATTTTAAAATTCAGTGATTTATTTAGAATTTAAATTCCAACAAAGAATTTAAAAAAAATTTTGCACATCAACATCCTAGCAAAAGGGTTGAAGTAGCTTGTTTATATAAAAAACAAAGAAAATAAAAATTAATATTGGGAAAAAGAAAATAAATGAAATTTCCAATATAAAATTTGTAATTGTAAAAATAGAAAAAGGAGTTGTTTTGCTTTTAACCTCACCGTTTTGTTTCCTCTTGTTTGTTTATTCAGAATATTTTGTTTCAACAGATAGATCCTCTATCTTTCACTTTTCAGATTTCACATTTCAATGCCCCAAACCCGAAAATCCAACAAAATCAACTCACTCCCCTTCACTTCTCCCACGTAAACACATCAACAAACCTCAATTCCATAGCTCCTTTTTCCCTCCTTCCTTTCCTTTCCCTCCCCTTTGGATCTGATTTTCTCTCCGTTTCCTTCACTCCAAACACCATTGGCCCTTTCCTTCTTTTGATCCAATCCCAAACCCAAACTTTTTTTTTTTTTTTGGTTTCTTTTTTATGGTTTTGTCCAATTTGAAATGGGAATGCTCGTAAAGGAAGCATGACCAAAAACCCCATTGGCAGCAACAACAACCAGAACGACGACGATTCGACCCAAGTAGGAGAAGAAAAAGAAGAAAACAAAGGCCAAGAAGAAGAAGAAGAGTGTTTTTACGAATCCCTTGATCGCATTGTTTCTTCTAATTCTTGTTCTTGTTCTAACTCAACTTCTCCTTCTTCTGACTCTGACTCCGACCCAATTACCAGTTCCAGCAATGCCCACCACCCATTTCCCGTCCCTAAATTCCCTATGGCTGTTTCCAAGTTCGACATCTGGATCTCCGAACCCGCCTCTGTTTCCGAAAGGAGAACGCGGCTGCTCCATGAGATGGGGCTTAGCAGGGATCCGGGTCTTTCCCGGACAAGACCCGGGTCAGAAACGGAAGTGGGTACAGGTGGTGGAGGAGGAGTGGAGTTTGGAAGAAGATCAGTTTCGTCGGATTGGTTGCTGAATATGGGGTTGGAGAAGCAAGATCGTGGAGAGGAACGGGAAAGTAGTTCTTCTGGAATTGTACGATCGAAATCAGATGGTGATGCAAGTCGCGATGGTGATTACAATGATGTTGCTGTTTCTTCTTCTCCTAGTTTATCTGTTTGTCCGAATTCATCTTCTTCGATTCCTTTTGTTGGTTTATGTTCTGTAAATAATAATAATAATAACAATAGTGAATGTGATCATATTAATCCCACGGCTGCCAACTTAAGAAGCTGTGAAAGTAATGAATCTACGTGCAATAAGCCGCCCACGGGGCCGAGTAGTAAGAGTTTCAATGGGGAACTTGGTTTTAAATCATTTGGTGGTGGAGAGGTTGTGATGGAAGATGAGATGGTTTGTAGTGAACAAGTGTGTACTATTAAGAATCTTGATGATGGGAAAGAGTTTGTGGTGAATGAGATTAGAGAAGATGGGACGTGGAACAAGTTGAAGGAAGTTGGGACCGGGAGGCAGTTGACCATGGAGGAGTTCGAGATTTGTGTTGGACATTCTCCGATTGTTCAAGAGTTGATGAGGAGGCAGAATGTAGAGGAGGGTAATAAGGATAATTCGGATATGAATGTGAATGGTGGTGGTGTTGGTGTTTCCAAGTTGAAGAAGAAAGGGAGTTGGTTTAAGAGCATAAAGAGCGTTGCAAGTAGTGTGAAGGGTCATAAGGAAAGACGAAGTATTGATGAGAGGGATACATCGTCGGATAAGGGTGGAAGGAGATCGAGTTCTGCGACAGATGACAGCCAGGATGTTTCCTTTCATGGGCCGGAGAGAGTGAGGGTAAAACAGTATGGAAAGTCATGTAAAGAACTCACTGCTCTTTACAAGAGTCAAGAGTTACAAGCACATACTGGGTCTATTTGGAGTATTAAGTTTAGTTTGGATGGAAAATACCTTGCTAGCGCAGGTGAGGATTGTGAAATTCATGTATGGAAGGTAGTCGAGTCAGAGAGGAAGGGAGAGTTATTGATGGAAAAGCAGGAAGATGGGAATTTGAACTTTTTGGTTGTTGCTAATGGATCTCCAGAACCAACTCTGTTGTCCCCAAGTGCAGATCACCATCCTGAGAAGAAGAAAAGAGGAAGGTCATCCATAAGCCGGAAGTCATTGAGCCTGGACCATTTTGTGGTGCCAGAAATTGTTTTTGGGCTTTCAGATAAACCTTTTTGTTCTTTTCAAGGACATTCGGATGATGTGCTCGACCTCTCATGGTCCAAATCTCAGGTTAGTCATCATTCTTATATCCTCTAAGGTGTTTTGACAAATATTTATGAATATAGTTGGATTTTCAAAGTTTTTAGCCGTAATGTTAATTGGAAGAATTTTATCAAGTGTTTCTTTGTTTTCTTTAGAAGCCTTATAAAACATAATCTCCGGACTTGTTGTAGTTGTGTTAGTTAAAACTGTTAAATTGATCTGTTGGTTCTGTTTATACCAAGCATTTATGATATATTTTCTTGCTGGTAAACTAAGGAATGCCATTTTTGTTTCTTCTCTTCTGAGCTGTGCTTCATGGAGATGGATTTTTGGATCAAGTTTTTGGTGGCAAATTTTGACTCAGAGTTGTATAACATTACATTGCTTTTTAGTTAGAACTAAAATTGTAACAGGACTGAAGAAATTTAATTGGATCTGAGAAATCCTTCTAGTTTTCCTTGTATGGTGAGTTTGGAGGGAATCCTATCCTAAACATGATTCACAACAAAGAGAATGGAGAAATAGGGCCCCTGTGTGCAATGCACTTAAATTAAATGTTATATGTGAAAGGCATATCTGATTGAAGCAAATGTGAATTTCATCAAAATACAAAAACTATTGCCATCCTGCTTGAATGCTTCTTGTTCTATGAAGAAATGGATGGTCAATGCATTTCTTGTTTCCGTGCTTTACTTGACAAAAGGATCTATGGAATACAAAAATGAAGTAAAATTTCTTTTAAATTGGTGGGCAAACAACAAAGAGAAATTGGTGGATCTTCAAAGTCAAATTTTAATTGTGTCCAGGTTTAATTTCTGGCAACTATAGGTGATATTGCTTGGTGGATTTTTTATTTGGCATTTCCTGTTTAGGTGTTGAGGCTGGTTGCTAATTAACTTGCATGCATTTATACTGGCTGCCAAGAAGTAAAGCAATTTTACAAAGCCTTAGGAAATCAAGTCAAACATATTCAATACTAATAAGATGTGTTCTGGCACATAAAGAAATGATCTAACAAGTTCAATATGTGGTTATTTTGCCATGTGCAACATGAATATTTTCAGAAAGCTTACTTTCTCATGTTTATCTTAGATCAGTTTCTATTTGTTCCATGCGTGAATTATCTGGCAAGAGGCTTGATCTTTTTTTGCAGATTGTCTTCATCCCTTCACTATGCTCTTGATTGTTGCCTTTGATGTTTCTGTGATGCCTTCATCCTTGTCAGGGATTCTGGTCAAGGTTCCTGATGATACCCTTAATATACCTTGTGGACTCTTTGAGATCATCTTAAGATCACTTTTGAGTTTATGCATCTTCAATATCGAGTTAAAAGACCAAAAATGGTTTGTGGTCTACCACCACATGTTTTATAAACCACTCCTGAATGTTAATGGCATGTGACCATAATTGGATGCCCAAAAAGTCCTTTGAATTTTACAAGATGCAGATGTCATGTACTCAATTGGTCAGGCCTCTGTGAATTCCTTCTATATTTCTAGCAAGCTTTTTGAGAGGTTGTTGTTACTAGAACTTTTTATGAATTTTTGTTTCCATCTTCACCAGCTTAGCCTCATTTAGAATCATGAACCAATATACTGCTGCAAGATATTCTGGAAAGATTTTTCTTTTTGTTCTTTTCAGCAATTGCTCTCATCTTCAATGGACAAGACTGTGAGGCTTTGGGACTTGATTAGCAAGACTTGTTTGAGAATATTTTCACACAGTGATTATGGTAAGTAAATTGTGAGTTTCATGTCTTTTGTTTTTTTACTTTGGAGTTTATCCTCTTAATAGCCTTGTTCAAGAATGTTACTAAATTGTACTCTCATTTTTTTTTCTTTTTTGATAAAATAGCTACCCTTCTCTATAGAAGCGATGGATAATTTTAAACTACCTTCTGTCGTCATAGCTGTAATACCAAACTGTGTATCAGGAAAAAAACTGAAAAAGACTCTTGAGTAGATAAATCCTTAATTGTAACTCTCTGGCTTGGAAGTGTGCATGTAATGGACTCAGGTTAAGCGTGTTTAGTGTAGAGTCAGTCAAATCAGTGATTCAAAAATTCAAAGATCCAACATAGAAAAAGCATACGTATCTTGTCTCTTGAAATTGGTTTATATATTGCTAATCATGCTTTATGCTCGTGGATCTGCCTTGACACAGTAACCTGCATCCAGTTTAATCCAGTTGATGATAGATACTTCATTAGTGGATCCCTAGATGCTAAAGTTCGCATATGGAGCATTCCTGATCGTCAAGTCGTTGATTGGAATGATCTGCATGAAATGGTCACTGCTGCGTGTTATACACCTGATGGCCAGGTTGGGCAATGGTCAATACAAGTTCATTCTATGTAATATACAATGTATAAGTCTGTAGCCTATTGAACTTTTAATTATTTTGAAGGGTGCACTAGTTGGCTCATACAAAGGAAGCTGCCGTTTATACAATACTTCTGGTACAAGTTTATGATCTCTCTCTCTCTCTCTCTCTCTCTTATGTCTGCATGCACACGCGATATTGTATAGTTGATTTGACACTTTAGTTTTCTTAAACATTTACTTCATGCATCTTTTGCAGAGAACAAGTTACAACCAAAAAGTCAAATCAATTTGCAGAATAAAAAGAAGAAATCTCATCAAAAGAAAATTACAGGTTTCCAGGTAATCCAGTAGTCCTGCTGCTTGAAATACTGTGTCTAAATAAGGAAGGATGGCGTTAATCCTTTTCTCTAGTTGAATTAGAGATTCCTTACTTCGAACATGTTGCATATGTTCTTGCTGCCATGTGTTCACTTATTCTTCCTCTGATTGGTTACTTTCTTAAAACAGTTTGCACCTGGAAGTTCATCAGAAGTACTCATCACATCTGCAGATTCACGAATTCGGGTTGTTGATGGTGGTGATCTAATTCACAAGTTTAAAGGTAAATCCTCATATTCATACAATATAAATATATGATATAGCCGTTGGGTGATTTGGGAAGGAGAGTGGCCATAGATGATAGTGATTGTGGCTGAGAGCTAAGAGGTATGGGAGACTAAAGAGAACTCTTAATTTTCATACTTACCTCAGCTGGGGGATGGTCTGTACTGGTGTATCATGGAATGAGTATCAATTCTTAAAAATGATGTTCTGCTTTTAGGTTTGGATGCTAATAGACTGTTTGCCTGAGAGGGGGTGGGGTTGGAATTGGGATATTTGTTTTAGTTTTCGCATTCTTCTTAGTGTAGTTCACTTTGTGGTAGTCCCTATTTCTATTGCTCAAAGATGTGAGTTGTCGCAAGAGGATTTTCACATCCATTTTGTGCCTTGATTACCAAATAGATTTTCTTGAAATGAATGTCACTAGTTGCAAATTTTCCTGGTTGCTCTTGAAAAGTTGCAGATTTATCATTTAGTATATATCCACATAAAATTCTGGAATTGTGCTGATTCCACAGAAGTTGCTGTTGATTATGTGACAGGATTTCGGAACATGAACAGCCAAATCTCGGGTGCTGTTACGGCAAATGGAAAATATGTTGTCTCTGCTAGTGAGGACTCTTACGTTTATGTGTGGAAACACGAAGCAGAATCCCAGCCTAGCAGAAATAAAGGGGTCACTGTGACACACTCTTATGAACATTTTCACTGTAAAGATGTATCAGTGGCCATCCCTTGGCCGGGCATGGGTGACACATGGGGACTACGAGATACACAATTGAATGATCAAAATTGTTTCGATGACAATATTGATGAAGTTTCAACAGCCAATCATCCTCCTACACCCATTGAGGAGTATAGTGGAAACGAGGGTTCATTATCAGCATCCGGGTGCAGCAATAGCCCTCTCCATGGAACCATTTCTAGTTTAACCAATAGCTACTTCTTTGACAGAATCTCAGCTACATGGCCAGAGGAAAAACTTCTTCTGGCAACTAGGACCAGGAGCCCCAGGGCCAGTATGGATTTTTCCTATGGGGTTAACCCAAACATGTCGGCCTGGGGTATGGTGATTGTGACTGCTGGTCTTCAAGGAAAGATTAGAACTTTCCAAAATTTTGGATTGCCGGTTCGGATTTGAGGGGCCAAAAGAATGGTGGTAGGGAACCTCAGGTTCAGGTACAATCCATTTCCTCCCCTTTGGTTAAATTGTGTACAGAGAGATATTGGTTGAGATTTGTAATATTAGCTAGTTTCATTTCTTTCTTTGTGCCTGTGCTCATTGGCTGTAGGGGAATGAGAAGCCACTCCAGTTGAGCACTGAGCAAAATATAGATTTGTTCAGAAAAAAAAAAAAAAAGAACTACACCTTGAATTTAGAAACCGATGTATTTCTGATATCGGTAATTGTAGAGCTAAGATCATGGCGAAAGCTTATTGAATTGAAAATGAAATTCTTTTACTATTCATTCTCATCAGTCATTCTTATGTTCTCGAGCAGCAGTGTTACTGCTATGGAAATTTTAATTGTTTTTTAATGAAATTTGTTTGGACTTCAAATACTGATAGAGAGAAAAACCCAAAACTCTAAGGTCCAAAAAAGAAGAATGAATAAATAAAAACCAGAAATTTGCAATTTGGCATTTAAGCTGAGTGCCTCTAGTCAGCGGCAACCACCAACCGTGCTGAATGGATTTGATAAGTTCACATGGTCATGTCACATATCATTTCTAAACTTATTAATTGTTTCTTTCAATAATCTTTTCGAACTCCCTTTGCTAGTTATTGTGAAGCCAAATTCTTTTTAACAAATGAAGTTTTAATATGTGAATAAAAATAAAGACTGCAAATATTAGAATTTAAATTTCATATTAATTAAATATTATATTTTAAAAATAAATAATTATATAAATCAATTAAAATAAACCTAAAATTCATTTATTTTTTCACTTCACATTCAAGGCTCTAAGTTCTTAAGATTTTATCTTAAAACCTCCAAGTTTGCCTAATTCCAAAGGATAGGAAAGAAACTCAAAGTGTTAGGAATAAGATCAGTAAAAGATATGAAACATGTGGTCTTTAAAGTAGGGAAAAGCTACAAAATTCCCCTTTTTCCTCTTTTAGTTTATTTTCTTTTTATAATATAAGTCTGGGTTTTTAGCATCAGTGATTGGTAATTACAAATGAATTTTGGGTTCAAGCCCAACTCTTCGTACGGAGCAAAGCACCCCCAATTGTCACAAAATCCCTTCCTATTATTTATAATATTAATTATAAGTGATTCGAATTTAATTAAATTATTTTAATAATATATAATATTATAAACTTTAAAATTTAAATTTAAATTTAAATTAATTTTTTATAATATTCAATTTTAATTGGGTTTCAATTTGTTAGTTTTTAAAATTAAACATTTTTATTTTTTATATTATTTTAATATAAAATTTAAATATATTTAAATAAATTTTTACATAAAATAATTATTTTTATTTTATAAAATTATAAAAAATAGAATTCAATCCGTATTTTTTTATTTTTGTTTTTCATTTCTCAATTCAAACTTTGTATATATTTATATATATATATATATGTATATTTAATATCTCAATTAAATCAACGATTTTAAATTAATTTTTAATTTTTTTAATTGTTTTCACACCCCAAAGGGAGGAACATCCTTAAGGGAGGGAGTGATAGAACCAAAATATCCCCATTCTAAGGGGAAAAAAGTTTGTTAAAATATCAAATGGAAATCCGAAACTAAAGCTTCATTGCCTACATGAAATTGATGCGACGGATAAATTACTCTGCTAATTATTCTACCTATCGTGTCCAATAACTTTGTTCCTTTATCACAATAAAATAGACGTGTGAATCTAAATCATGATTTAATAATACGATAAAAAATAAAAAAAATATGATTTAAAATTTTAATAATAATAAATAAATAAATTTAATAAAATTAAAATATATATATTTATGTTTTTGTGTTTATACAACTTATGAATGTAATTTTTATATGAAATATAATATAAATATACGAATTATTAATATTTTATTTATCATAAATACACAAATTATTATATTTAGATTAAAGGTCACTTCCCTCCTTCCATATGCATCAAACTGAGAATCAGTTTGATACACTTTTCTAAAGAACGAAGATCAGCTTCGCTTTGGTCAGTCCATAGGGGAGTTTATTTAAGGGTCTTAAAAGAGCCCAATTCAAAGTGGTTGAATAGTGTGGTTTCAAAGTTAGTTATGGCTCTACGGTCTGCTGCTTTGCTTCCAGCTACTTTCTCTGCACCCAAAGAGGTTTGTTTTAGTTTTGTACTGATGAAATGGGATTTGTTTTTGTAGTTTTAATCTGGGGTTTGACGTTTTGCCATTTTGGGGGTGTTAACAAGCATTCTGCTTCATTTTAAAACTAGTTGTCTCAGGAAGCCAGTGATTAGGAGAAAGCTCGCAAAACATGGGAGCTCAGTGAGAAACATGTTGGATTTGCCAAATTTAGAGCCTTATGATGCTTGCCACTTAACCTTTGCTTGTAGGAGAGCTTTGATATTGGCGAAGGTCTGATCCAATTGATGAACGTTAGATTTTGGATTCAGATGGTGTGCTGTTGTAAACATTCTTCTTTTGTAATGTAGGTGACTTTGTGAGTTTACAGTTGACAACAAAATTACTCACCGCGGTTGCTAACCTGAAATTGTTCAGACATTGTCAATATGAAAACACAAAATAAAATAATAGATAATTCAATGAACTTTGAAAAACTAAAACGTTCCCAAGTTTTTAAACAATTCTGATGTTGTAATCATTCAAGAAACAGAAAAGGATATCCCTAGCTAGAATCCATGCCATGGTGATTTTAGTTCAGAAGTTTACAGAGTCACTAACACATTTTTACAGAAATTAAAATTAATCTGGATGCAAGTAAGAGCTCAATCCCACTGAATCCACAGGTACAAAATCAATGTCATCATCATGAGTTCTCTATAACCTGCTTCCGAGAACTGATTGGAGACCTCATGATAAAAGAAAAGAAAATTGTTCTCTACCTCTCCATCAGAAGTTATGAAACTCAATTAGTTAGTCTTGTGTGTGTGTGTATATATATATATATATATACACACACATATATATACATATATATATACATACACACACACACATAAATATATAGAAATCTTCCTTAATATATTAATTGAAATTGACTCCTCTCATTATGCGTTTAAATACATAATTAAACCTAGATCATAATTAACTGAAATCATATCATTAATCCACATATATAATGACTTCGAGATAAATACAACATGCTATACTGCCTCTCCATGGGACAAGCGATTGAAGCAGACATGGTTAATGAATGAAGAAAGATGGCAAGCATTCCTACGAGTGATCAAACTGCTACTGATAAGGAAAATTTGATGAGAAGATTGCTTGGTAGAATTGTGTGGGATGTTTAATCACTGAAAGACAGCATTGCCTATAGGAAATCAAAGATTTGATATTGGTGTTCACTTTTAAAGGATTAAAAACAGTTTAGGACAGTGAGATGAGGTTTATGGTAGAATTTTATGACAGTAAGATTTGATATCAATAGAATTTTATGAATTATAACGAAGGGGATTAAGAAATATGTTCTAGCACAAGATCATAGAACCATAACTTGAATTTATGCCATCAAAATTTCATCAAAATCCTACTCCCAACAACAGTAATTCAATCAGTGAGAGCAACTTCTAGATAGTTAAAGACTCTTATATATTCATGCATCATGTTTGCTCTCAAGAAATTTTTTTGCAACTTGGGCAGCGGCTGCCAAGAGTTGGATGTTAGGCTTTGGATCCTTAGCTTCGAACTCTTTCTTCACAGCATAGGAAATGTCGGATTTGATGATGCTCGAAGTCATGGATTTCTGTATAATATCAAATCGAACAATTTGAACTGAGCAACCAATTGCTAGACATCCTCCTTTCAATCCTTGTGCCACTTTCACCCTCTTTTTATCATCAATCACTGTGAATTTCTCTGTATAGCTTGAATTCCCTGATTCATTGGAACAATCCATGATCAGCTCAAACCATTAAAACAAAAGAATGATCAAGAATAACCTAAAGTTTAACTTAGTTGATTCATGTAATCACTCTTAAAATAGCATCCCGTAAATCAGAGATTCAATTATTAACACCTGTGATCTTTCTCTTATCTGGCCTCTTTTATATATATAAACCAAAAGAACGATCAAGAAAAACTTGGTTTTGAAGGGTATTTTTATACAGTTTTAGTACCTGGAACAAATGTGAGTCTCAGAACAGTGCCAATCCCACCATCACCTTTCAAAACTTCAATGTTTTGGATAACATTTTTGAGCTGTTTTGCAGCAAGTCTTGAGATTCCGAGATGCCTGTAAAGTTCCCAAACTTCACTTGCTGGCACTTTCACTTCAAGTTCATTGGTGAGATGCTTCAATTCTTGAGAGTGAACTCCCATGTTGATGTGGCAAGCAAATAGAGCAAAGAAAACCAAAGAAACTTGCTTCAACATTTTTCCAAATCTGCTTCTTTGCTTGCCTTGGAACGATTTTTTGATTTCCCTAGCTGCAATTTACAGGGTTTATATAGAGCTCAGGAATGAGCCACGACCCTGCATTAAAGAGATTTGACTGCGAATTAATGCTATATAATAACATTAGTCCTAGAATCCTGGCTATCATTACCAAGATTGAAACTTTAACATAATTAGCAGATTTTCTAGCTAATTTTAAATATATTTGAGTTGAAATTCATGAATGCTAGCTTCCTTTTTTGAGTACATTTTTGCCTAACTAGTTTACCAATACACTTATTAACAAATTAATTAAATCGACAAATAAACATTTTATTTGAAAGATTGGTGAAAAAAAAATTCTGCCCCATCATCTTGTATTAAATCTCGACCTATTTGAAGCAAGAGAAAGAATCATTCCTTGAAAAAAAACAATTTTTACGTCAAAAAGTGTTCAACTAAGAAAAAAAAAATCAATGCTATTGAAGTTGGAGTTATTTATGGTTCATGCAATTAAAATGTGTTGACATTATGATAATATATTTGTATTAATTAAAAACTCCATTTAATTCCCCTTTAACACTGTTGAGCACAAAATACCCTAAAAAACACTTTCTTTTTCCCGAAAATGCTTCTTTGACCCTACATTTTTGCCCCGTAATCTTCTTCCTTTCCAATTCCCCATCAAAATGAAATTCCCCATTAAATCAAAATTAAAGCTCATAAATTGGTAGAAACATACATATATATATATTATAGAAAATTAATAGATAGAGATTATAATATATAGTTATTTTTTTTCAAGCATATAGTTATAGTTAGTATATATAGTTTTATATATATATATATATATATATATATATATATATAGACACACACACACACAAATTTAAAAGAATTTTGATGAATTTTTGTTATTTTATTTAAACCATTGCTTAATTAATGCAAAAATTATGAGTTAATAAGTTCTATTTTTTTCATTTAAAATTATCAAAATTTAATTCTTAATCACGAAAACTAAAAATTCGGTGCTCTAATAACAAGTCATATTATAAATCTATGGACAACCTCAAAACATGATTTTAACCTTTTTAAGAAAAAAAAATGATTTTAGCTTTCTGCTACATAAAAACAACATTGTCACAAAAGTTAAGAAAGCCAAGGCCATTGTCAGGCCCATTGTAGCTTCAATCCCTTATAATTTGGACATCGACATCCAATCATGGGCACCCATGGAGTCCATAATTATGCACACTTAGCTCAGCCCTTTTATGAGAAAGGAGTCGGCTTTTAACTAGGGTTTATCAAAGCCAAAATCTTCCAGTTTTCCTGTCTATTCCAGCAGCAAAAAAGCCTTACTTTCAATTCTTTCTTTGTTAAACAATGGGGAAGAAACGAAAGCGCAGCGAAACCCAGACAGCTGAACCAACAAAGAAAGATGAAGGAGCTCCAGAGAGACCAAAAAGGACACTTTTAGGTTGGAAAGACAAGGAAGAAGTTAAGAACCAATCGGAGTCTAATCCCGATTCTTCCCATTTTTTTAGAAACAAAGAGAAAGTTATGGTAACATGTTCTCGCCGTATTAATTACAGGTCAGTTGGATTTTTTTCTTTGTCTGAATGTTAGGTTGACTTTGTTTTTTATATGTTTTTTTATTTTTTTGGTAGGTATAGGCATTTGATGTTGAATATGGTTTCACTTTTGCCTCATTGTAAGAAGGATAACAAGGTAGAGTCAAGGAGTAGTAAAGGGGCTACCTTGAATGAGCTTATTGAGTTGAGGGGTTGTTCTTCCGCTCTGTTTTTTGAGGTAAATATTTAAGCTTTTTTGTTCTTTTCTTTGCAAAATTTAAGTGTGCCCAATTTTGATGCACTGTTAGTTATATTAGGCACAGTTTGATTCACTAAGAGGGCATAGAATTATAAACCTTGGGTCAAATTGAACTCTTTTGAAATGGTATACGCTTAAATTTTTAGGCTAAAGTTAAGGTGGCTTTACATTGCATTAGTTTCGAATTTTATGCTCAAAATATCCAATGTTTATATACAACTCCTTTTGTTTATGCCAGTGTAGGAAACATCAGGATCTTTATCTATGGATGGCAAAGTGTCCCAGTGGTCCATCTGTGAAATTTTTGGTTAATGCCGGTAATAGTTCTCATTTGATTTTTTAAAATGTACTATTGTCTCTATTATATTCTTTAGTTTCTTGATGTTGTTAACATTGCAGCATGGTGATTTTTCTTGTTTCTTGTTGCTTAATGAAGTTCCTTTTTTTCAGTTCACACAATGGAAGAACTGAAGCTCACTGGAAATCATTTGAAAGGTTCTCGTCCTTTGTTGACTTTCTCGGGTAATTTCGAAAAAGATGCTCATTGGAAGCTTTTGAAGGAGATGATCACACAGGTATCTTGATGCTGCTTTTTCTCCTTTTAAATGAATGCTCTTTTGCTATTTATCTTTCTCAAGTATAGATGAAACATGTACTTCCTCACTCTTTGAATCAACTCATTTGACTTCTCTTTTGAGTCACCGAGATAAAGTTATAACAGTTATCTGTGCACCAAAGAGTTGAGATTCTCTTTCCTGATTCTGTGGATTTTTCACTTAAACATGCTTCGGGGTGAAAAGTAGAATATTCCATGACACTTTCTTTTCTATTATTTTCTGTCAGATATTTGGAACTCCAAAAGAGCACAGGAAATCTAAACCTTATCATGATCATGTCTTTGTTTTCTCCATTGTTGATGACCACATATGGTTCCGTAATTACCAGGTTTGTGAAGTATATGTTTTTTTGTTTTAATTTGTGTGCAACATATTTGCCAGTAGTTTAGATTAAATTCTTAATTATAGTTTTCTTTATCTGAGTTTTAAGGTGGAAACCAAAAGCAAAAATTTCATTTATGCTCCTTCTGTCTATTCCTCGGGTGCAACTGATGCTGATTTAGTAATAAACTCCTCATAGCTGCCAATTAAAGCATAAACATGTTAGGGTTGGTCAGTCTAATGGATGTGAATTGTTGCTGTAGTAATTATCAACTATATAAGCTGCCAAAGCTCAGTTTCTTGGATTTCCATCCTTTAACTTAGCATAGATTGCCTATTTTAAAGTGCAGGATCTGGACTGGACTGCTGTAGTTTTCCTAGGAAAATGCCTGCACAGTTTTTTTTGTCTATTTTCTCTCTTGACATTGTAGGGACTCTTGAATCAATGTTGGTTATTTTAATTTTAATTCTACTTTGGATTAATCTGCAGTCTAGTTTAACATCTGGTCTTTGCGAGTTGTGACTGTGTTACTGCTATTGTATGATGTATGCTGTGAATGATAGATATTTCTGGTTGCTCTGAAGCCTTCAAAAGAAAATGGTGATGAAATGAGCAGCATAAGTTTCTATGGTTTCATATGTTTGCTTCTTTATTATTTGTTGACTAATGGATTTACTTTTGAATTCACCTACCAAGGCTGTTTTCTAATGCAGATTTCATATCTTTGCATCTTTGTTCTTTGTTGATGAATCAATAAACTACTAAATTCATTCTTAACACTGCTGTTTGTCTAATGCAGATATCTGTTCCTCATAATGAATCTGACAAAATGATTCGAGGGGGACTTGATAAAATGACCCTTGTTGAGGTATGCAGTGATATGTGCTTTCCTACTTTTATAATTAGGGCTGAGCAATTGGTCGCTTAGGTTTGAAAAAATCAGTAATTGAATTAACCAACTTTTATTCAACAAATAATTGAACTGACAACAAATTTTTAAATAATTGATAATAACCGAACCGACCAAAATCGGTTCAATTCGGTCAATTTAGTTAAATAACCAAATTTTTCATCATTTTTTCCTCCTATAATGAACAATTATTTAACCACAAATTAAATTCAATAAAATTCAAACTCAAGTATTATTCAAATTAAATTACTAAATAATTTAATAATTTCAATAATATTTTCCAAGAAAAAAAAAGTACTCATCTCAATTTTTTTTACTTATTAAAAGGTTGGTTAATTCGGTCAGTTCGGTTATTAATTTTAAAAACTGAAAATCAATCGAATTAATCAATTTAACCAATCTAAAAAATTGATTATAATCAAAATCCAATAAATTGAATCGAATCAATCGAATTCACTCAGTTTTGGTCGGTCTAATCAGATCCAACGGATTTTTGCTCACCCCTATTTATAATATGATTTTCAAGTACTTGTGGTTGTAATTTAATTCTAGATACTGGTTCTGTACAGGTTGGTCCAAGATTTTGTTTGAATCCAATCAAGATATTTGCTGGCAGCTTTGGAGGTCCAACACTATACGAGAATCCTTTCTATGTATCACCAAACCAGGTTAGAGGATTTTACGTTAATCTTGATGTTGTTAGTGCAAGTTATATGTGTTGAAGGAGATTGTCATGGGTTCTGTTAAAGTAGGGGGTGATTCATGTCCCTCTTTTACAGATTTGATAATTTTTGACACGATATGCTTCCTTTCCTGGCATTTGCAGATCCGAGCTATGGAGAAAAGGCAGAAGGCCGGGAAGTATGCGAAGAAAGTCAAAGCTAAGACTAGGAGGAAAATGCATGAGCTATCTAATCCATTGGAGCCTGATGAATTTGCAGATATGTGGAGGGAATAATGTATCTCAAAGGGTTTTTTTTTTTTTTTTTTTTTTTTTTTTTTTTTCTGCAAGTAAAAAAAATAATTATTCCCTAAAATCGTTTTGTATCCAGTTGGAAACGGCAGATTATGGTTAATTTTTCTCTCTAAGCTTACTACACTATTGCTTTAATTCAAGTTCTTGGGCCCAACATTTTAATTTCAAGATCAATAGTTTCAAGTTCAAAAATTATTTCATTACTAAAAACATTGTTTAAAAAGATATTATCGTGCGGTAAGTATTTATATTTATTAATGTAATATTTATAAATTTATATAGTTGATTAGTAATTTAATCAAGATTAATAGGTATCGTTAATCGAATTAACATGTGAGCATATAATTTTATGTTTAAGGTCCTCTTAAATAAATATCCAAATATTTTGTTAATGAATGATCTGATTTTTTTATTTAAAGAAAAGATTTAAATTTCTTTCTTTGCAAATTAAAAAAAAAAATTCTCTTTAAGAGGGTTAAGTTATGATTTAACTATTTAAAAAAAAAGAATTCAAAATTTAAAGCATTTTATTCGTATAATTATTTTAAAAAATAATATCTATATTTTTTTATATTTTCAAATTGCAACATCTTAAAAAAAAAAAATGAGTGCAAGTTTTAGTCAATTATTCACACGATCGGCTGAGAATGTTGAATTTTCTCAACAAATACAAGAACAAAAGCCGTATAATCCAAACAAAGATCCGGAAAAGCCATTATAAGCTATCTCTCATCTCAATCTCTTCCAATCCTCCAGGCTTTTATCAATGATTTTCCTTTTCAATTTTTATAAAAAATCTTGCTCTCATCTTATTATTATATTGTACATGTACTTATCTGTCACACGAAACCGTACGGATCATGACAGCTCATTGGTCTGGATTTTCATGTGCACTTGTCAGTTGTCTTGTCTCTTTTCTCTTTAGCCTTTTCTCTTCTCTTGATGTTATTATTCCATCCAACGCCTATCCTTTTTCGTATTTTTGTGGTTAAGAAAGTTGGGTTTTTGTTCATTAATGAGCTCCAAGCATTGCATCCAATGCAATTGGTTTTTTCTTCTCTTTTTTTTTTAAAAATTCTGTACGGATGAATTGGCTTTTCCTTTGATCGTAACATCTAATTAAGTCAGAGCAAGTTGGCTGATATAGTGATGTCTAATTCAGGGCTTTGATCTTCACAAAAAAGAAAAAATCTTTTGGAGAAAGCCTGTCTGCTGACCTTTGAATCTTTGAAAGTGAAATTCAATTGTCATTTGATTCTTTATTTTCTTTCTTTTTGAAGTACTAATGAATTGGCTTTTCCTTCTCTCTTTTTTGCACAAGGGAACAAAACATGCAAGCTGGCCCTCAATTTTTTCTTTGAAAACAGCATTAATTGACTGAATGTAATTTATTTTAATGTCACTTTCTCTTGTGAGGCCAAGGCTGTCTTAATCAGAAGAAGAAAAATCTAACAAGAATTCTTTGGTTACAGTGAATGATAAGCCATAGAAAATTTCATTTCTTTGAGAACTGACAATTTTGTTCTCATTCTGATTCTTTCAAAAGGCATCACATCCACATGAATTTTGCAGTTTATAGTGCAAGGATTGAGTATGAACAAGTATGAACAAGCATGAACCGCATAATCAAACATGCAAAAGCATTACATGCTTTATTTTCCCATGTTACTCCTGCAAGAACAACAGGCCTGAAAAACTAGCAGCCTGTTTATTTCAGCTCAAAAACCATGGCTAAAGGACATAACCCTTTTCGTTTTGGATATAAAGTTTAACCCAAAAGCACATGACAAGAAAGATTCTTGATCTTTGTTGACATAATTGCAAATTAGTTGTATAACATTCCAATTTTATATGGAAATTTTAAGTTAATAATATATAAAAAACCTTAAATTTTTATTTTGAGGTGTTTCCTATATAATAAAATTATGAAATATTCCAATTAAAATGATCAATACTTAATAAATTTGGTGCTGATGTTTATAAGTTGAAAAACTTGTTTTCAATTACCAACTTCATTTAAAGCTTATATAAGGTCACTTTCTTGTAATTTAATCACTTTGTTGCCAGGCTTTATCCCACAGTCATTCTTTGTAATGAAATTCTGATGACTTTCAACAATGTACCTTTCTGAATGGCTCAAAACAGTAAGGAGATGGTTAAGATGTAGCATCAATTCAGTAATGAAGAGAGAGAATTATTTTCCTCTTCAAAAGGTTACATGATTTAGGGTCCCCCACTCCTTTCCTAATCTCCTTTTTCTAAGCCATCAAACAGTAATATTTTCTTTTTGACCCATACAAACAAAACAAAGTAAAGGTTTGCATCATGATTGGGCAAATCGTAATTGGTTGGAGTTGCAACTTGGAAAGGTCATGCATGGGCTACCATTTTGCTCATTTTGATTTTTGATGCAAATATGTGCATTCCTATATTACTATCATGTAAAATAGTAATTCATATATTTATTTTATTTTTTATAAAAAATTTATAAATTATAAATTATAATTTATATCAATACACAAATATAAAATATATTTTTTAATTTTTATTAAAATTTTTAATTATATTATTTTTATTTTTTTATTATTTTCATGATATATCTTTATATCGGATCCTGATGTATTTCGACAATTCATGCCTGCATCAGCAGTGGCTTTCAGATTTTCTACTTTCGAAGTTGGTGTGCTCATTTGAACCTTATTATAAGAAGAAAAAAGGAATGGCTTAAGAAAAATTTTGGTTAATAAAAAATCATTGATTTGATCAAATGATTTCTAAGCATCGACATGGGTGAATTAATTTTCTAAATTTGCCAATGGTTTTGGCAGCAATTTGTTGACAAAAAGTTTGAATGATGACCATTTCTATTGAAATTAACACATGAATTTTATGTATGCCATTGGTAATTTCTTTTGTCTTTTATTGGAAATGAGAAATTCATCAATTCAACCAAAAATAAAAAAATAAAAAGAAAATATTTGATAGACAAAAAGGAAAAGTTTTGGCTAATGGGGCCAAGTTCATTTGCTTAATTGAAGGTCACACTATCAATCACTATTACAAGCCACCATTACAAGAACATCAATGATGCTCGGGCGAAAGCTGAATCGACATGGTGAATAACTTGAACTCGTGTTCAATTTGAAATTATTAAAAATGTAATTTGAATATGATCAAATTTTAATTTTTAAATTTGATTTAAAATAAAAATTAAATTATTTATATTTATTCAATAAATTGTGTTTATTGAATTAAAAAACAGTTAGACTCATGTTAAATTTTAAATTTAATTATTTATATTAAAATTTGATCTCAAATTAATATATTTTAAAAAATAATTTTTTTAATAAAAAAATATATATTATAATATAAAAATTAATTTATAAATTATTTCAAATAAATATTAAAATATTTAAACTCAATTTATTTAATAAATCAAATTATTTGAATTCTAACTTAATTTAAAAATAATTAAATTAAACTCAAATTTTATTCAAACAAATGGTGACTAATTTGCCCTAATACAAAGTAAACCGACCATGCACTATAAAGTACATATAAGCTCAGAGACTTGTTGAAAAACGGTGAAATACAACAAGACAACTGATCTGTAATCTGAATCGTTCATTTAATTTACATTATAAAACAAAATAAAATGGACCCCACATTTCCTTTTTGCACTTTGGTACCTTGTACCGTACCCCCTTCCCTTCATTTTCCAAGCAACTTCACTTCTCTTATATGTAACCCCGGCGATCTCCAATTTCAGCATCTGTCTTCAAGAACACAGCAAAAAAAATAAAAATAAAAAATCAGAAAAAAATTTCTTCCCTACTTTTAATTTCTCATATTTCCATAGTTTTTGGATGGCAGTGAGGTTACTGTCACATGAGTTATCTGACCTCTGTCTTGGCAAGCCAGCGTTGAGGTCAATTCCTATTACATCCACCATTGCTGAGGTACTCGAGGTCTTGAAAACCTCTGATGATAACTTTGTTAGTGTCTGGAGTTGTGACCATAAGGGTAAAGCTAGTTCTGGGTTTGAATCAGCTGGTGGTTTTTCTGATGATTGTAGATGTGTAGGCAAAGTTTGTATGGTGGATGTTATTTGTTATCTTTGCAAAGATGAAAATTTGGTGTCACCTTCTGTTGCTTTGAAGGAGCCTGTTTCTGTTCTTTTACCTAAGACTCCTGGCCTTGTTGTGCATGTGGAACCATCTTGCAGGTACAGACAATGGAAATGTTTGGATTCTTTTTGAGTTATCCCAAGTTATCTTTCTGGATTTTTCTTCACTTCTTTCAATGTTTTGGGTATCTGGTTTTGTTTACAAGTTCCCAGTTTTTGGTTTATCTTCGACTCAAGATAAACATTTCGGTTTTTGTCAGACTGCAAATTGATGGCCCTAGTTCAAGTCTCTCTTAAGTCTTCAATGAAATTTAGTTCATTAAAGATAAAATCAATGATAATTGTTGTTGAATTTTAAGTAATTAATCATAATTGTTTTGTTTTTTCAGCTTGTTAGAAGCAATTGATCTTATTCTCCAAGGAGCTCAAAACCTTGTGGTACCAATCAAAACCAAGCTCAGCAACAAGAGAAAACAGCACCAGAAGCCTTCACCAACTGTCACAATCCACAAAGGCCGTGAATTCTGCTGGCTAACTCAAGAAGATGTGATCAGATTCCTACTCAGCTCCATTGGCCTCTTTTCACCAATCCCTGCCTTCTCCATTGACACTCTTGGTATCATTAGCCCTGACATCCTCACCATTGAGTACCACTCCCCTGCCTCAGCTGCCACAGGATTCATTTCTCGTGCCCTGGTGGACCAAACTTCTGTGGCCGTGGTTGACAGTGACGGAACTTTGATTGGTGAAATTTCTCCCTTCACCTTGGCCTGCTGCGACGAGACAGTCGCAGCAGCCGTCAGGACCTTGTCCTCTGGGGATCTAATGGCCTATATTGACTGTGGAGGTCCCCCAGAAGACCTTGTCCGGGTTGTGTCGGCAAGGTTGAAGGAGAGAAACTTGAATGGAATGCTGGAGCATTTCACAATGTCCATGTCTTCTGGTGGATTCGCATCTGCATCTTCATCCTCTGATGAGGAGTCCATGACTAGTCCAGTGTCACCTTTGCCAAGGTCAGGAAGGTATAGTAGGTCAATGAGTTATTCAGCCAGGATGGTGAGAAGATCTGAAGCAATTGTTTGTCATCCCAAGAGTTCACTAGTGGCAGTGATGATCCAAGCCATTGCTCACAGGGTGAACTATGTTTGGGTTATAGAGGATGATTGTAGCTTGGTTGGAATTGTCACGTTTTCTGACCTGTTAAAAGTTTTCAGGGAACATCTGGAAACCATGGCCTGACAAGATGAGAAGCTTTTGATTAAAGTTTTGCTAATCTTCTGCTAGGATTTTGATTAAAGATCTTGCCCTTTATTTCATGATTCTGGTTGCAAGATTATTGTCACGTGTTTGAAAGATAGTTCTTGAAAATCAGATAGTCGAAAAAAGTGAAACATGTGGGTACAAATGGACTTGTCTATCAGTTTCATATCTTAAAAAGCTCAAGATCTTGCCTGCAATTATAAAAAATTTATATGAATATATCAACTGGCCTTACTTTAAGAAGCAGCTTGAGCTTGCAGATTGTGAGCATGACATGGATTCAGTTAAAGATTTAAATAGCATTTAGATGACGAGATGTGTCAATGTTTTCTCAGGCAATATTTTGATGATAGGAAAGTGAAAAAGGGCATGTCCCATTAAAAAAGAAGTTAATGTTCATATATATATATATATATATATATATATATATAGATATAGATATAGATATACACACACAAGTATTCACTTATACTAATATAAAAATTACATTTTTTTATATTTTAATCAAAATTAAATCCATAATATTTATATTTATTTTATCTAAAAATAAAGAAAGAATGTATAATTGTTATACTGATGTAAATCCTTCTTCACATATATTTGAATAGAATCTGCTTGGTGAATTTATTTAAAAGGTCTTGTTAGGTAAAATTCGTTGGATTATTGGTTTTGAAAGATTAAAAACTTTCAAGAATTTTTTTTAAAAAGATTATATTCTTACAAATTTTCAGGTTGTAAATAAACAACTATATACGAAGCTGAAAAGTAATCAACAAAACAATAAAAAAGAGAAGATATAAATAATCATGAATTTAGTTTAATTAATTTATTTAATCATATGAAAAGATGGTATTCGACAGATTTAAAATTCAAATTATAACATTAGTAATTTCTTCTCTTTAATTTTGGATTGTCACTTCTTTTATATGGAATGTGCAAAAGGTTTGGTTTAAAAAAGAATTTTAGAGTTTTATAAAGTTGATACAAATCTGAAAAATTAATTTAATCAGTTGAATTCAATTTAATCTGTTTTGATTAAAAAAATAATCTAAATTAGTCAAATTTAAATAAAAAATAATTTGAAAAATTAATCCAAAATAATTTTAATTTTAATTTAAATTAATTTGAATTTTAAAATTTAAAATTATACAAATTGGATAATCCAAATTTAAATAATTCTAATATCAAATTTAAATGATTCCAATCTGAAAGTCCTTCCAATTTTTTTTGACTTGAAAAATTAAACCCAACTGGACTAATACTGTTCAATTATCACTGAAGCTGAATTATTATCAACTCATCATGGATTTTCACCTCTGTGAACAAATTTTTTTGTTTTAAAGAATTGAAAAGTGAATCAATGGACAAGATTTTTCTAGTTGTAGAATTGTAATTGGAGGAATATATAAATATATATAGATATAAGTATTCACTTATCAAAGAAATACACATTTTTAAATCCTTAGATCAAAATTAAATTCATAATACTTATATTTAACATTTTTTTAAGGGTAAAAAATTTTATAACTTTTATACTATCGTAAATGAATCCCTTTACATATATATATATATATATATATATATATATATTTGAGTAGAATCTGATTGGTCAATTTATTTAAAAGGTTTGTCACGTAAAATTTGCTGGATGAATAGTTATGAAAGATTAAAAATTTTTGAGAATTTTTTCAAGTTTTAAATAAACAACTGTATAGGGAGAAGAAAATTGATCAACAAAACAATCAAGACAACTAGAATCAGGGTTAAATGTGAAAGCTATGCACTGTTTTAACATGGGATTATGTCTTGTTCTTATTGACAGTTTATTTTCTTGGAATCTCTCATTAATCTGGTTGAAGGCTTCAGGTATAGTCTCTGTATGTTTAATGGTGGTCCTAGCAGAAAGTAGGCGACCGATCACAATATGTTTATTTCCTCATTGAAGCATGTGAACCATGGAAACTTGAAATTCTAGGTATGGCCTGGAAGAACAAACTATATGGTATAACATTCAACAACTGAAATCAGGGAAAAGAACCTCACAAATGATAATTCCTCTATTATTAGAAACTTGGATTGGTTGAAAAGCTATTTCTATATTGTATAAATGTGTTGATATTACATAAACAATGTTAATAATTGAACAGTTCTCCAGGTTTAATCAATTAGCAAAACTTTCGAGTTTTTACATTTGGATCAAATTTTATCAGTTTCAAGTTGTGCAAATGGCTATCCAAGAAAGGGTTATATCTTATAAGGAGCATAGGTGAGGGAGCCTTTCACAAAGAGGCAAAAGCAGCGGCATGGTTTTAGAATTGTTTAATCTTGGAAAACAATAGCTTATTGTCAGATTTTGTATGATGTAAACGACAATGAAAATCATCTTCCAACTACTAGATAGACCACAGTGTGAATATCTTTCTTTCCCATATGTCCCACAATCCTGTTTAGAAAGAACCAAAAAATGTCAGATTCACACTTAATTGTCCCACGTTCTGATAGAAACAAAATGGTTTGTGCCATCTTGCAAAATCCAGCTCATCAATCCAGCTGCTGAATTTTTATTTAGAAAATATATTAATGAGAAAGGGATGGCTAACAGAAATGCCAACGCAAAGACCAAACCAAACCCTCCCTGCTTTCGATTTGTTTAATGCAAAGCCAAGTTTGTGGTCACCGGACGTGGAATTTATATTAAACTGGTTACCTATCTCTGTCGCCTTCCTTGATAAATTTCCAGAAAAAATTGTGTGGGGGCAGATGTTAGGTAGCCATTACTTTCTCCCCGTAAAACCAATTTGGTGTGCTACACTTATTGGGTGTGTGGCATAATGTCAATGTTTATCCGAGGTAAGATTGAAACATCTTACTTATTTTTCGAGACACTTCAGTGATCTGACTCTTCCTGCCTACTTCTATTGAAGTGTTTGACACCGACTAATACAAGATTAGTTTTGATAACACTTGTTACCTGATCATTATCCTCTTCACAAAAAACTGATTGCTTAGATTGGCACTAGCCGAAGAGATGGATAACTGAAGAAATACAGTATACATGAATCCAACCACATGGTATTTTTGTTGGTTTGTTTCATTTAAAACAAAAGTTTTGGTGTATAGACATGAATTCTTTAAACAACAATGCATATTTTGATTTCCTTCGAAAAGTTTACAATGAAATTTACCTATTAATAGCGTTTCCAGAATTTTTTCTTTTTGTTTTTTTTTTTTTTGAAACTGAGATTTGAAGTTTCAAGTTTTCATTTGATTTAACTGTAACTGTTGAAGCAGAGAAGTTGTTTACCAAATATGAACTAGCAGTACACAGGTAAGGCATGGGGATTTGACTAGCAACCAGGGATTGGGATAACAGATGAAGGTTTTTTTTTTCCTTTTTTTTTTTTCAAATGTTTTTGGGGTCCTAGGAATTATTTATTCATAGCTTAAGTGCCAATGATCAATGAAACAGAATTTACCCGTATCATACACATTAAGATGCAATACGATTATATTATTTTAAAATAAAATTTTAAAGTAATTAGAAGTTTTTTTTTTAATCATTCTAAAATTTTTAATTTACATAATCTGTCAAGTAAAATTTATATCTTTAATCCAACTAATGATACGTTTCTATATATTTAAAAACAAACTATATAAAAATATAAAACTATTTTATAAGATTTCATCAACCAACATTTTCTCTTACGACTAAGTAATCTTTCCCATTTTGATCTTCTAGTTTCTCATAAGACTAAGAAAAATTTTCACTTACTCATCTGTAAAGAAAAATAAAAAAAAAATGAGTAAATCACAGCTCAGTAAATATGGCTTACACACCTTATCGGTTCAAGTATTGTTTTTATACATAACATATAGATCATTTAAAACATTCGTCAAATCATAATATCAAAACATTTCAACGATCATCATTTTGTTAAACGTTTCGTAAATTCATAAATCAATATCAAACGTATCAATTAATAAATCATTGCAAAATATGTTGCCATTCAAATATTGTAATAAAATCAAATCATTAATCAATTTTTAGAAATCATCATAAATCATCTTCATATACAAATTATGGATCAATCTTTAAAATCATCACAAATCATCATAAATCATTAGTTCATCATTGGTTTATCGTTACTTATAATCACTGTTATAATCCGTGACATTAGCCATTTCAACAATTTCATTCTCATGATTATTACTAATTATTATAACTAGTTAACTAGGGCCTTATGCTAACTACTATAACCTGTTAATATGATAACCACTATAACCCGTTAGTCAAGGCATTAGAACAAGTTCTGGTATCAATGATCTTATTTTTCAAGGATATAAATATGTAGCTATCATAAAACCGTTTCTTAAACATAAATCATTTTCTCATTTCATTCATAAGTATGATTTATCATTTACATAGCAAAACACAAAATAATCATATGTTTGATCCTATTTTCAAATATAAAAAATAAAGGAATAAAGCATTTACTCATTTAAAAATATACATACATGCGTAGGTTCAAAAAAAAGTAAAGTATGTGAGATTTTACTTATTTTCTTTTGATTTTATCACTCAATTATTCCTCAAAACAATTAATAGCCTATTCAAAATCATTTCAACGTATCATAAATTAATCAATTCTTTTTGAAACCATTTATACTAAAAACAACTAAGTTATTCGAGAATTAACACAACTAATTAATTTTGACAGCCTACACTACTTTCACTGAAACAATCATATCTCAAGATATCAAATTCGGAATTAAGATTCTTTTAATGCGTTAGAAACTAGACTTGATAATCTTTCTACCCATATATGGCCCATTATGTAATTTCTTATAAATTAATTGTAATAATTTTTGTAATCTATGTCATATGCTGCTGTCAGATAACGTGTATATATTCTAATACAAATTATATATTTATTCATATGAAATTTCAAATTCAATTCTACTTGTTTCGTTGGAAAATAGATTAAATAAGCTTTTCAAACATATATGGCTTAATCTGTAACTCCTATAAAGTTTATGACAAGTTTTGAAATTCATCACTAATGTTACTGTCATGTAACCTGCACATATTTAAGTAAAAATTAGACAAGTTTTCATGAAAAATTTAGAATCAACTTTCATTTATTTTGTTGAAAAGTAGATTCAATAAACTTTCCAACAATATACAATAATTATAGTAATAATACATTCATTAATACAAAATTTTATTTTAATTTATTGTTGTAAATAATAATATCTCATTCAAAAATAGAATTTCTTCTTCATTCTTAAAAAAAACTCAAATATCTACTTTCAGTCTTTAAAATCCATTCAATAATCATCATTAAATCTTAATAACATGAAGTAAATAAAACCCAATAATTTACGCAAATTGATCATGAAGATTAATGAAAGATTTTATAATTTTTTTTATTTTTCTCTCAAAAATTTAATTCCAAATAATAACAACTAGCATGATACATTTCTTAAATAAAAAGATGGCATATATTTACCTTTAAAAGATTAACTCGATTGTAACTTCTAATTTCGAATTTTCAATATAATTTTTCATACTCTCTAACCCTAAAAAAGACGATGAAAAAAAACTCCCATTTCTTTTTTATTTCATGATAGTTAGTTTTTTTTTTTTTTTTTTCATTTAATACCTCAACATTTTTTTTCTTTTACTAATTAATCTTTTAAAAAACTGAAGAAATTTGGCCCAATTATCATTTAGGCTAGGGTATTACAATCTAGGCATAAAGAATTCAGACCATAGTTATGATGATTTGCAAATTGCAAGAGAAGAAAACGGGAAATAAAGATCAAAACAACCTTCTGAATTCAAATAGGTAAACTTCAAGATAAAAATCGATAAAAGCAGGGGAGAAAGCAATCATCATGAGCTACAAATTCAACTTTCAAAAATACAACAGTTGGTAACCAGCGTGCACAGTTACAATTCATGTTTCATGTAATTCTACAAGAAATTTTATGAGGGGGGAAACAGTGTTTCACTTCTGGAATGAGAACACAATGCGAACCTCCACAAAGGCAGATGTTAAGTTCATTGCATTTCATCTGCTTTCTGAAAGAAGAGTTGTTTCTTCTTCCGTTTCCTGAATAAAAATCTCTGTAGGTTCAAGGCAACCCCTCAATTTGTCATGGCCTAGTTGTGCTCGCTCATTGTCCCCAAATCCAAACATCCTCCCCTGGTTAGTTACCACCACAGTGTGATACAGACCTGTGCTAATCTGAGAAACATGGTGACTTCTCAAACTATCAAGGATTCTTGGTCTCATAACTTTATCAGATACGCGTCTGTCTGGAAACCCCAGGCTTCCAAATCCCATCCACCCAAAGCCATAGACAGAACCACCATCAACCAGAACAAATGTTTTCCTCTTTCTTGCACAAACCTACATCAAATGGTAACCATTGTCATTCAGTCATGCAAGCAAAGCATGTCATTTGACTAAACAAAACCAACTGGATTCTTCTCATGGACAAAGATAGTCATGAAGGAATACATGCATAGTGAAGAATAGAGATGATAAGCATCCATGTCAGCTTCAATATACTTATAGGCATGTCAGCAAGCCTTGATGTGCACTCACAACTAAATATTACCAGCACATCAAAGTCCAATTCTTGAATTCATTAAGAGAAATAGTGTGCTGCAAAAACAATACAATTTTGAACCAGCGAGGAGGTGAGCCAACTTGGCATGTGCTCATAATGAAGTTGCATAGGTGGTAAGAAGGCAAGAAGGCCTTAGAGTTTCCAAAACTCCATCTGTTTCGATGTGTATCCAAGCCACAATTAAATGAATGAATCATAAAAATAATCCACAAGTAAATGAGAAAAAAATCGAGTAGGAAGAAGAGTTCGATTTGGGTCTTCTGCACTATTAGAATTAAATACTGCATATTCTGATTCACTCAAACATCTTACTCCATCGGCAATGTTATAATGATGTATGAAAGTAACCTGCACAGCAAGCCGACTCTTAAGGCTGATCAATTGTTCTGGAAGAGTCTTATCGATTTCATCTCCATGGCCTAATGCACCACAGTAACCTTTTCCCCAGGTATATACCTACAACCAGCATAGAAAATTGTCAAACCACAAAAAGACAAGCATATCAACAAGAAAAGTTCAATTCAAATGCAGGGGCTCACATATCCACTGGAATCAAGAGCCACAACATGCTCATCACCAGCAGAGACACGAAGAACATGAATACCCTTTCTCTTAAATGTCTGGATTGCACGTGGCTGGAACTCATTTTGTTGCTCTCCATGGCCAAGACAAAAATTAGAGCCAGAACCAAAAGAGTAAACTGCTCCATTGTCAGTTACAGCTAATGCATAGCTTGGACCAGCGGCAATCTGAACTACAGAGCCAACTCCCACAAGCAGTTCAACCATTTTTGGGGTTGGCCGGTCTTGAGTGTCACCATGACCCAGCTGGCCGTGTGTGTTAGTTCCACATGTATAAACATGGCCTTGTCTTGTACGGAACACAGTAAAATTCAGTCCAGCAGCTACCTGAAACAAGTTCAACCTTTCTAATATTATACAAGAATAGTTTCGGAAGAAAATAAGTACCTGTTAGGTGACTTGAAATCTTCAAAACTAAGTTGCAAAGAAGATGAAGAAACTTCCTACTAAATTATTGCCATGATAAAAGTAACAGTCTAACTTCAAATCAACTCTCAGATTATATTAAGTATGCTTTATTGCAAAAATTATCCTTGCTCAGTCCTTAAACATCAAATGACATCTTAACCTATATGAAACAACTTGGCTTTGGAGGGCTAAAGTCTTAGACATTGCTCATCAACAAGCTTAAACAGCATTTTACAGAACAATACTGCATAATGACTTCTCCTGAAGCACATGAAAGCATAATACATAATACTTGTTAGGTTTCAGGACAATCATCAACCTATGAAACTAAATAGTTATAGTGATGACAGAAAACAGCTGCATGGGAACAAAAACGTAAGCTGATCATTCTGAACATTCAACTACAACTCCTCCTCAAATGACTCCAAAAAATAAGGAGAGATAAAAGAGCATCAATGCGAGAAAAAACAAAAAGTACAGCCAATACAAATAAGATATTATAACCTCTAGCACAAGCTGCTACCACCCTCAACAAAACTGTTATTTACATGTTACACCATGACGAGAGTGATAAGTACTCTACCTCTTTACAAGGAATTCCCTTCATTGCTTCGACAAGCCTTGGTCTAAAAATGGGGCGGCTTGTATCTCTGTGGCCACAACAAAAAGATGAATTGTCTCCACATGTGAAAACCTGCATAAGTAATTGGTGACAATATGAATATGGCAACCACTTGGTAACTTATTGCATATGTATTTCAATGTTCAAATGCTAAAATATGCATGCACCGACAAATTTGTGACCGTAAAAGAAAGTGGGTGTATAACATATAAAATTAGCCAAAACAGCTTAACTTTATATACATTAAAAGGCAAGGATCACTTAAAGCATGCTCAACTAATGCATCTCAAAGATGAGAAAACATGTTTATAGTGCTGTAAAACAATCAAGCAATATAAGCTTGGATCATCATGTCAAGCTAGATTAGAAGTAAACCCAGCTCATTCAACAAAGCTGTGGAGTTTGGCTCAAGTCTGCCAATTTCAAGCCTTTCACCTGAGCAAACTGACTTCAACCAAAGGCCTGCTCAACTAATCAGCCATCAGAGCCAGCAATGCAAGCTCATAAATGGCCATACATACCCTAACAGAGCTCATTATATAACCAAACCAGTCTCAAAATTTTATACACTCTGCTTTCTGGGCTAGGTTTAGCTTGCTTCTGACCTTGAATTTAATATATGAAGACCATAAATAGGTTGCTACCATTACAAACCCTTCACCTAAAATCCCAAGAAAGTATTCTGTACAGTCCACATTTTCATAACTTATTATAAAATTTTATTAGAATCAAGATATTAGGAATTGATCCAGCACTTAATAAATAAAAGATTGCCCCTATTTAATAAATAAGAACTAGAGTGATTAAGTCTACACTTCAGAAAGACACATCTTAGTTACTCAGATTTAGGTTAAATCTCTCACGTCAGACAGCACTAATTGTCCAGACAACCAAACCATGCATAGCATGCCAACATGCTACATAGTATGTAGCATACATATTATTTTCAATTGGCATTTGCTGCCATGTCCATGAAAAATAGCACTTGAAGAGGTGTTCACTAGATGTAGCTCTAAACAATTATCTCTGAATGTGTTCAGTCATAGCTCAAAAATGCAACCTTGCCACCTTACCCAAATTATAACTCAATGATCTTATCAGCACTCACAGTCAGGTAACATTTGACTTTTTCAAAGGCAGCTGGATCAAACATTCACAACCACATCAAACATTAACATGCATGTGCAATTGTAAAGAAATTATATTGACATCATCTGCTAGGGAAAGATAATGTATGATTCCTTTACAAAATGCACCCTGAGTACACTATTGCTAACTAAAAAAATGGAAATGAAATAAGATGAGTAACAAACCTCTCCAGACTGCAAAATGAATGCAGCATGATTTTGAGAAGCTGACACCTGGACCACATTAGCTGTAGAAGGGAAGTTAATCCTTGTAAATGCAACACATTGTGTTGTTTCAGGACCATGTCCAAGGACACCACACAAACTCGAACCACAAGAGTACACTGATGAGTTGCTAATTAGCAATGTGTGATACCTTCCGGTTGTTACCTGCATCTGGTAAATCAAACTGATAATGAGTGTTGAGTAAACCGAACTCTTTTGATGGCAATATGGCATCTATCAGAGGTGGAGGCAGAAAAAGAAGAGATCTAAAAACACTATCGACGTGAAATAAGAAACGAGGTCTTCTTTTCCTAGCAAAAAAATATGAATGATAAGAAATTATCAAACAACCAATCGTTAAAGCAGGGTAAAAATGCAACCCAACAAAATAATCTACTGTTAAAGCATGATAGAATTCAGCCAAATTTCGACTTAAGCATAAGTTAAGCCTTCCTTTAGCTATTGCTTTTATTACTTACTTTCCACTATTTCCTTCTTCTTACTTCAAAAATTGCTGTAAAGCATATTTGATCACCAATTAAATCGCAATTACTACAAACCAAGAGTTTAGCTTAATTGGTTCATGCAGCCACAAGAGGTGGCATTAGGCGGGTTCGCAGTTACACTTGCGACCCCTTATCCTATCCCCAACCGGCTTCCTTTGTAACAAAAAATTGTAATTACGCTATATAAAACTAGACCTCGCATTTTATTATTATGCACAAAAACTAAGATCGTAACTTTAAATTTCTTCGAAACTACCATTTCCTTTTATGTTCAAACAAGCCAAAAAAATGCAAACCATAAAAGACCAAACAGAATCTAAATCAAAATTAATTTCTAAACCATTTCTAAACTTAACACACAAAAACCAAAGTATATATTTATTCATTTTAAAAGTAATAATATAATCAAAGTTATAATAATAAAAAAAAGAAATAGTTACATTGCCTGCAGAGGTTTGGACCATATCCGAAGATTGCTCCACTGACTGCAAAAACCTCAAAACTCTTTTCCAATTCCTATCACACCTTTCAAAAACCTCCATTTGACTACTCCAACTCATCCCTATATATAACCCATTCGTTGTGCATAGCTGAAACGCCGCTAAATCAACCAGCGACCTGAATTTCGTCGGGTAAACCCCGTGACTCCCTCCGAATGTTCTCGACGTCAACTCCAGCGACACCAGGTCAATGGCACTTAACCGTTGACCGGACGTTAGGATTTCCAAAATTAAATGGGATGGTAAGTCCTCGATCGAAAATAACCTATTCCGATCGGCCATTGAAAAAAAAAGAAATTTTTTGAAAAGGAAAGAGGGAATTTAGGATTTTGATTGAAAAAACCAAAGAAGAAAAGATCAAATTTTGAGGCGAAATCTTAAGCAATTAAAGCAAATAATAAAGAAAGCATCGGTAGGGAGGAGAATTGAGAAATTGAATTGCGGTTGATGCTTTGATTGGAAACTAATCATCAGATGGGATGGATCGGATCGCTAGATCACGGTTGATTTTCGTTTTGGGAAGAGAAAATTTGATTGTTTTATCTGAGAAAAAAAAATTTTAAAAGCAGAGGATTATAAGAATTATATTAAAGTTTGAAATTGGATAAAAACAAAACAAAAAAAGGAAGAATTTACTTAAAGATCAATCACTACCGAAAGAAGCAAATTATTTTATGCTTTTTGTTTTCTCATACTGAAAAATTTGAAGTGGAAATTGAGCTCAAAAGTTTGTTATTTAATTTAAAAGAAGGATGGCAAAAAAAATATATATATATTTTTAAAAAATGTAAAAGTCATCCTACTGACAATCCTGACCCTTTTTTTTTTAAATTAAAATTGGTAAATTTTAGATAAGATATCAATTGAAAATATACGAAAAAAATATTAAAATTTTTATAAAAATTATATATATTTAATAAAAAAATTTTCGTGTTTAAAATATATGATACAATAATTTTTTATTTAATGTTATGGGAAACAAACACCACATAAAAAAAATTGTGAAATAATATTATATTTGATAAAGTCAGTCCGATGATAGATGTCAATGGAGTCCATAACATTTTGACACGTATCAGGATGTTTTTCTATAGATGACGTGTCGCAGAATGATTGGTTAACTGACTTAAAGTAACGGAACTGCCGATGGCTTTTCCTTTACAGCTGAAAATCTGCAAGAGTCTGTTCGGTTTTGTTTTTGGTCGTGGATTCCACTAGTTGTCGTTCTCCCACGCTGTTTTGTCTGAAAATTGAATGACACGTGTAACTTCAAAGAACCGCCACATGACTTCCTTTTTTTCTCAGATCTCGCTCGCGCGTATGTGGCAACTGCAGCCATAAAACAAAGCATTTTACCTCTAAGACAAACTCTAGCTAGTCTCTTTTTAACAAACCCTAACTCGCCTCCTTTAACAAAACGCCATAGCTACCACCGAATTTCCCTTACTAATTCAAGCTCTTCTTTTTGTTTTTGGGGTTATAGTAATGGAGGAAAATAAGAAGGCAGATGGGCATGAAGAGGAACAAGGAGAGTCAGAGTATGTATTGCTTGATCTTGATGCTGTTTCTGGGCAGATTGACATTCCCCCAAATGCACCTTACACTCTTTCAGTGAGCTCTGAATCTCATGTCTTTTAATTGTCTGAAGCATTTAGATTTTTGGGATGTTTCTTTTTGCTACTTATTTTTTTTTGTATTTGGAAGTAAAGGTATGTTCAAATAGTCTTAATCTCTGAGTTCGAATATTGAGATGAGAAGATTAGTATTGGCACTACTGTTCATGCAATTGCTTTCATTATCGAAGAACTCAATTTATACAAATGTGTATACTCATGTGTATGCCTTCTTTTTTTAATTGTTCAATGAGATAAATTTCGGCCTGTTTATGTTTTTGGGTCTTTGATTGGAGCTCTGCCATGGCTGAAATTGTTGAATTTGGTTTGATTGCAATGCATTATTGTTGCTTTTGATGATCTTTTTACAATTAATATAGAGGATAGTGTTTGTTTTCTTAATTATATTTGTTGGCTGGGAATATTTGTTTAGTTGATGAAATGGTATTTTCTTGTCAGTTTTGCGTAAGATTTCCCTGTTGTTTTTATTTTACCATATTGTGATCATCAGTTTGTTAATGAATTTCAGGGTCTGGATATGATGAATCCGATATTAATCATAGATAAAAAAGTAAAGCTGGTGAGTTGTTAGCTTGCAAAATCTCATGTTTATCTTTGGTAAGAAAGGTTCCAGGTTATTTATGTTTTGAAAGTTTTATTTCCTTGATGACCATACTTACGCAACTACCAGGGACTGTCATTGTATTTATTTATTGATGTTTATATCTTTAGTATTCACAATCAGCCCAGACATTATATATTTCTGAATTCTTGGCATCTAAAGGATTCTTGCTGCCCTCTTCTTTGTTCTTTACCATATCTGTTAGACTCATTCCTCTCTCGCATTATCTAAGGCGTTGGTTGAGTTGGTAAAGTTCAAATACTTCGCTTGTAAGACTCAGGTTTAAGTTCCGTTGCCAGCAGTCTAGGCCTGCATTTTGTCCTGGTCCTGGAATGAGGAAGCCTCTCCTCACCTCAAACTTATATGCACCCAAAATAAAAAAAAGTTCGTTTGTCATAAATTTTACTATAAACTAGGAATTTGGTGGTCCACAATAGGCCTAAGCTATTGCTATATTTTGACTCTTTGATTTCAACTTTAATAAACACCAAGCAGTTTCTGACATGCGAAAGTTTTTAATTCATGAAATTTTCATTTTTTAAGTTAATATCTTTTTGAATTTACAGATCGGAGAATATGAAGAAACAATTGGGACCTGCTTTGTTTTCTCTGAAGATGGTGAGCAACATTTTTGTCATACTTACTTTGAGCTTAACTGGGAGGTGGTTAATTGTCTACCGTTCTCTCTTTTGTTATCATTTTACACTTGCTTCTGTCATGGATGGGAGGATTGTAAGTTCAAGTATCCTTTCATTAGTTTTTATTTGATGGTAAACAAATACCATCGAAGAATTAACTGTGTAAGTAGCGAACAGACCACCAGACTTCATTTTGAGGTTACATTGAGTCTCTTATTCTTAATTTTAGTGAAATCTTTATGCCAGTTAGGGAACGTATGAGCAAGGTCTCATGGGAAATTAGTTGCATGCAGTTCCTTGTCCATTTTTTATTATCTTCATAGCATTCCCACCTCAAGCCGAGAATAGTTTAATTATAATGCATGGGGTTTGTTTACTAATGCAGATACAAGCTCATTCTGTTTGTTCTGTTTCAATTGCATATCAAGATTGCTGGGAAAGTTGCTTCCATGATTCTTTCACTTAGTTTACGGGATGGACCCTTTTATTACTGTCCCAACCCATTGTTTTTTATGTTCATTAGGTTTATTAAACATTTTTGTTGTGTGAATTAAGAATTTTGTTGTTCCAATTATGATTTGCAGAAACTTCCCCTGTAGTACATGAAGAGACAGGTCCATCAGAAGCAAATCTCTTCTCAGGAAAATGTATAATAGACCCAAATCGAGCTCCAAGAAAGCAAGTAAAACCAGTTGCCAGACTTCACAAGATTCTAAAGTTTATATTGCTACCAGATGATGATGATGTTCAAGATGAAACAAACGTGCCATCTAATTCGATTTGTAACTAGCAAACTCTGATTTGTAGTTGCTGGTTAATGTTCTTCCTTAATTTTGAAAGTAATCCAATGTAATTCAAGCATATTTACGCTCTGTGTTTCCCTCTGCCATTCCTGATTCTTTCCCATTTCATCCTTTCCAAGATTCTACCTGCATCAGTGTCTTAGACCTTCAGTAAATCCTGCCTACTTGGTACTCCTTCGAGGGGTATTCAAATGTTAATTTTAGGCTTTTAGCAAATTCAGAAAAAAAAAAAAAAAAGCTTTGGAAATAGAAAAGTCAGTGTGAAAACGGCTACTAGTATTTAACTGGAAGTTCTAGCAAAATGTTAACAAAGAAAAAATCAACAAGACTTGCTACTCCTATTAAACATGTCTCTTGATGGTCAAAACCAATCCATAAGGAGAGGTGCCTGTAGTCACAAGTATAACAATTGACTCATAATTTGTCTTTTGCTTTATTTTTGCACTTTCCTGCACTTCGATTTTTCTTCCAAACCCCACTATCTTCCTTGTATATCAATCAAGTTGCTAAACAAATTTAGCATAGCCTGTGAATTGGTTCATTTTCTCTTGTTTTTCTTGCACTTTCCTTAGCACTTTCATTTCTTCTGCTATCCAAATCCCACCCTCATCTTTTTCCTTGAGTGAATATCAATGAAGTTGCCAACACAGAATTGCATAGCCTGTTGATTGGTTCATTTTTCTCTTGCTTTTCTTTGCACTTTCCTATGAACTTTTGCATCCCCAAATCCCAACTCAATCTTTTTCTGATGAAATCTCAGTTGTACATTCTTTTCTTGCTTTTCCTTGCACTTTCCTTAGCACTTTCTTTTCTTATTCCCAAATCCCACCCTCATCTTTTTCCTTGAGTGAATATCAATCAAGTTGCTAACACAGATTTGCATAGCCTCCTACCAGTAGTTGATTCACTGTTTCTCTGCTCCATACACTTCTTTAACCAGGGTTCTGGTCTTTTCTTCACTGCTTTTTCCTTTTCAAGGTCTTGCAGAAGAATCAGCCATTCTAGGGGCTCAAGGTATGAAATTTTACTTCCGGTATTATGTTTCTTTTTCATACTTGGCATGATTTTGTTTTCTCTTCTCTACTTGATTAATGCTATTCCTTTTCCTCTTTCTCTGCTGATGTTGGCTTTCTACAATTATTTTTCTTTTGGATTTGCCTAGTTTATACTTTCCTCCTTAGGGTATCCAAATGTTACGCTCAGAAGGAAAAAGGAATACCATGCAATACTCGGTAGTTGACTGCAAATGCCGACATGACAGACAAAAAGCAAAAGCAAATGAAAAATGGTTAAGAATGGAAATTACTACGAGAATGCACTAATTGCTTTGAGTCTGCCCTGTGGCACCTACCATGAAAGTCAGAAAATGGCACCAAGACAATAATTAATGACCCATAGCTTATTTTTCTTTGCACTTTCCTTGGTCGTTACCATTTGTATTTCAGTCATATTTATTTCGAGTTAAATAGGTATAAAATATGAGAATTATTATTTCATAATTAACTTTAAGTTCTAACGTACTAAATATAAAATACATTTTTAAAAAAATTATATATGATTTTTGTTAAAATTTTAATCTGATCACTTTTGTATTTTTTTTATTGTTATCACTTTTGACTATTCTTTCCACGACGCTATTATTTCTTTGTAATTAAATACCAAATATCAATCAAGTTGTCAACACAGACTTCCACCTCTCTCTGCCGCTACTTGATTAATTATTCCTTTGCTCCATATTCGTCTTCTACCTGGGTTCTATTGTTAGAAAGGGAGTTTGCTTCTTGTTATCTGATTAGGCCCTTTTTTCCTTCACTCTTTTTATTTTCCTATTCAAGGTCTTGCAGAAGTGTCAGCCATTCAAGTGGTTCAAAGCAGGTAATTTTTACTTCTGATTCTTTTTAGGCTTATAAACTGGGTGAAAATTTGCTTGCTTTGATTATGTTTCAACTTACCATGACATGCTTTTTTTCGCTTTACAATGATTGTATTTTAACTTTGTTAAAAACGTTGTTCAGATGATTTTATAGTCTTGATTGGAACATAAATATTTGTTCCAGCAATTTAGCTTTAATTATGATACTAGTAATGGTATTAGTTTATAAATCTCAATTTGCCATATACCATATATAAGAATAGCAAATTTTGCAGTCCTAGGCCGTAATTTTATGTAATCTGCCTACCGTTTCTAAGAGCTGATGGTTCGGTGATATGAGTTGAGGAAAGTGCTTTACCCTGGAAAGGCCAAATAATAAAATCAAGAGCTAGATTGTAACAGATTGGAAGAAGAAATAAATGATTTGATTATCATAATTGGATTGTAGCAATTATCCACAATAATCCATAATCTCAAATGCTTTTGAAGACCCCATGCCCAGATAAGACAAAGAAAAAAAAAAAGATGGGCTAGGGAAGTAAGCTTTTATTTTACTTTAATTTTTAGGAAGAAGCCAATACTTTCAGAAAATAGAGTTGATATAATCCATGATGAGCGGATTTAAACTTAGAGTTGAACTTGTACGAGTGAATGATTGCTGAATCTTGAAAATAAAATTTATCTTGTCAAAATTTATTTCTTGATTTGTTGGAATATTATCGGTTTATTTCCTACATATGCATTTATCAGCAACACGTACGAAGAATACACAGTCACCTGCTTCTTTTCGAAAATGTTGTTTCTTATCTTGATCTTTGAACATCCAACTGTTTTTAGTGAGAACTGGACAAACACATTACTAAGTCTAAAAGTAAAGACTCAGGGTACTTTTTCACTTACCATTTTACGCATCTTTTCTATTTCTATAAAATGCTACAAACTTGCTTAACTGTTTTCTTTTAATGCTTATAATGACATTTTTCTCGGTATAGCTTAGGCACACAAGATTTCCCTATTCAAACTTCATTGAAGTCCAACAGATATCAGAAATTGGATTATTCCAGAACCTCCCCTGGTTATAGGCCACATAGATTATTAATATATATATATATAACATATATATATTTGGCCAATAAATCTATTCTAGCAGCATTGGGACATTGGCAAGGAAGTTTGCTGGTTCATTGGTTTTTGGGCCTTTGTTCACTGCTTTCTTTTCAATTCTAATCTCTCAAGAAGTGCCAGCCAGTCAAGTCAGGTAATTTTTACTTCCCATTCTCTGGTTCATTTGATTCTAATTGATTGCAGGGATGTAATTTGTTTGCTTGGTTTTCTTTCAAGCATCTATTCTTATATAATTTTCCTATTTTGTTGTGTTATTTGTTTTATTTTTGTCCTCTTCCCACTTTTTACTTTAATGTTGACTTATTAACCCTACTAATACAGCTCTTCCATTAAAATATCTGCATTTTCAATCATTGGATTGCTTCTATGGTCTCATTTGGCACAGGATCCTTATACTTCTAATGACATATTTCTCTGCCCCTTTTGGATGGTCTTTTGTTTTTTTTTTTTTTGGGTGCAAAACTACCTAGCTTTTGACAAATTTCTTTATGATTATTTCTGTTTTAACTTGTTAAAAATATTTTTCACATGCTTTCCATGCTTTCGTTAGGCGCATGGTATTAAGATCAAGCAGTATTAGATAAAAGGCTATAGAATTGGACCAAAATGCTTAGCCATTGTCATGAAATCTGAATTTTATTCTTAAAAACTTTGGATTACAAATGAGAAATCCTTGAAAACCAGCCCTATGATGAGCGTTATATCTGCCCACCTTTGAACAAATAATTTGTCAGTGTGACAACTAGAGTTAAGTACAGATTTTTTTATGACGACATCCTAATGATTGGGCAGTCTCTCCATTTTACTCTAATTTAGTGAAGGGACAAATAGAAATGTGTAAAACATGAAAAGTTTGAGCTTTGTAGGGAGCTATCTAATTCCAAAATAACACAGAAAAGACCATAGAAATGTAGAAGTTGCTCATCATATCTTTTTCTGAACTTTGACACATAGTGTTTTAGCATATAGCTCTTGTAGTCTATGTTGGCATTATTTCTTCCTTTTCTTCTTCTTGTTAATTTCCTAAGGAAAAAAATTTCCCTTATAGGGCTAACATATATCGTTACGATCAAACTTCTGATAGCAAACTTTTCGTAAAACAATATGTGCTTCTTTACTTGATAAATATGTTAATAAAAAGTCGTTTTAAGGAGTGTATGGACCTAAAAAAGCATTCTAATGTACATATGGGGTGCTATGTAGGTACTTGTTGCAATGGACTTTTTGGCAAATAAGATTTTCACACACTTGGAAAATCACTGTAGTCTCGATCAGAATTTAGTCACCCTGAAGAGAAAATTGGTGGACCTAAATGCCATGAAGGAAGACAATAAATCAAAAAAGAGTGTAGAGCTGCAACCAAGAAAGAAACTCAAGAAAGGAGTTGAGATTTGGTTTCAAAATGTTGAAAGGATCAATGGTGAAATACTTAATGATCTTGAAAACGAAGTTAGAGGAAGCAGTCTTCTCTCACGTGGATTCCTTGGAGCAAACGTTTTAAAAAGGATACAAGAAGTTGAAGAACTTCTTCAACAAGGAAAGAGTTTTGATGGTTTGGTTATTGACGATCCTCAATGGATTGGACAGGTTTTGTCGACAACCAACTTATTTGGTGAAGTTGCAAAGAACATTATGAAAGAAATTTGGGCATATTTGATGGATGATGATGTTTCGAAGATTGGAGTTTGGGGAATGGGAGGGGTGGGTAAAACAACAATCATGAAACTCATCAACAACCAACTTTTAAGAGAGACTGAAAAGTTCAACATTGTCATATGGATCACTGTATCAAAGGAGTTGAACATCTTCAAAATTCAAAAAGGCATCTCAAGTGCAATGAAACTAGAACTTCCTGAAGATGAGGATGAAGCAATAAGGGCAGGGAAGCTGCATG